ACTACAAATTGTTTGGGCTATCCAGTGGATATAGGGGCAAGCTTACATGACTGTGGGAGGGGAAGTATCTGTGCACATGTGTCTGCAGGGATGCTCGCTGTGCACGTGTACATGGAGGCCATTCTCCACTTCATTCTTGGAGGCAGGGTCTCTCCCTGAACCTAAAGTTTGAATGTTTTGACTAGGCCAGCATCCAGCAAGTCCTAACAATCCTCCTGTCTCTACCTCCCACAGAATGGGTTATTGGTGCATTTGAGACCATACCTGTCTTGATACATGAATTCTAGAACATGAACTTGGGTCCTGTGGTTATTCAACAGACACTCCTAAACACTGAGACAACTCTCTAGCCCCGTTTGGCTTTTTGTTGTTGCTGGATTTTTTTCTTCTTCTTCTTCTTCTTGTTGTTGAGACAGTCTCTGCTTCAAATTCCCTCTATAGCCATGGTTAGCCATAAACTTCTGAACTCTATGCCTCCACTTCACAAGTTTATTATTATTATTATTACTATTATTAATTTTTTGAGACAGAATTTTTCTGTAGCTTTGGAGCCTGTCCTGGAACTAACTCTTGTAGAACCAGGCTAGTCTCGAACTCCCAAAGATCTGTCTGACTCAGGCTTTCGAATGCTGGAAATAAAGGCATGTGCCACCACTGCCCAGCTCCCCAAGTGTATTACTAGAAGCATGTAAAACATCACACCCAGTGTATGTTGTGCATACTAGACAAGTACTGTACCAACTAAACCGCATCCCCAGACTCTTGTTTTGATTTTAAGTTTCAATACTAAGAAGAAATGGAGAGGGGCTGGAGAGATGGCTCAGAGGTTAAGAGCACTGACTGCTCTTCCAGAGGTACTGAGTTCAATTCCCAGCAACCACATGATGAGGGCACCAGATCTGTAGTGATCTTCTGGCCAGCAAGCATACAGACAGACAGAACACTGTATACATAATAAATAAATAAATCTTTTTAAAAAAAAAAAAAGAAAGAAAGAAAGGGAGGAAAGAAAGGAGATCAAGGTCAGAAAAGCCTCTATTGAAAGGAAAAAATAGTAAAACCCAGATAATATTAAAATTAAAAATGGAAAGATGCAACCTATGATATGGCCTCAAAAATCAAATACATAATTACTATTGAGAAACTATGTATCAAGAAATATCACTAATAATTTATCCTTAAAGCAAAAAGTATTGCAGGAAGAATGGAGGTTTTATTATTCAGTGTGCTGATTGACTTAACTGAAATAAGATAGAAATCTTTGAAGAGTTTGGCAAAGGTCATAGCAAACAGGATGTGGTGGTTTGATGAGACTGGCCCCCATAAATTCATGTGCCTGAATGCTTGTTGGTGGAACTGTTTGGGAAGGGCTAGGAGATGTGGCCTTGTTGGAGGAGGTGTGGCCTTGTTGGAGGAGGTATGTCACTGGGGGTGGGCTTTGAAACTTCAACAGCCTATGCCAGGCCCAGTTAACTCTCTTTTCTGCCCAGTGCTTGTGGATCAGATATAAGCTCTCAGTTACTGCTCCAGTCTCATGCTTGCTACTCTCTGCCATGCTCCCTACCATGATAGTCATGAACTCTCATGATAGTCATGAACTCTAACCCTCTGGAACCATGAGCCTCCAAATTACTTTCTTTTGTAAGTATTTGGTCATAGTGCCTCTTCATAGCAATATAGAATTAACTAAAACACAAGACAAGCAGTAGCTACAGAGTTGCAGGGTCTTATTAAACAGAAGCGGTTAAATATTTAAAGAAATAAAATCTCTTTACAATTGAAACACAGGTCCAGCTATGGCGCTTTATCAAACGATGAAAGTCTATGAGAGAACACCAGGAACAGCGTGCCTTCTGCGATTGCCACCCAAGCCAAATTTGGGGAGTTTTTGTGGTTTTTTATTATTATTTTATTTTATTACTTTGAAAAAAATACCAATCCAAGTTACCACTTCCTCCCCTCCTCCCACTTCCCTCCCACTCCCTCCACACATCCTCCCCCTAGCCCCTCTCCAATCTTAAGAGAGGGCAAGGCACCCTGCCCTGTGGGAAGGTCCAAGGCCCACCCCACTACATCCACATTGAGCAAGGTATACATCCATAGAGAATAGGATCCCAAAAAGCCAGTACATGCAGTAGAGACAAATCCCAGTGCCATTGTCATTGGCCCCTCAGTCTGCTCCAACTGTCAACCATATTCAGAGGGATTAGTTTGATCCCATGCCCATTCATTCCCAGTCCAGGTGGAGTTGGTGAACTCCCATTAGCTCAGGCACATTGTCTCAGCGAGTGAACCCCTCATGGTCTTGACTTCTTTGCTCATATTCTCCTTCCTTCCGCTCTTCAACTGGACCTTGGGAGCTCAGTCCAGTGTTCCGATGTGGGTCTCTGTCTTTGTTTCCATCAGTTGTTAGACAAAGGTTCTATGGTGATATTTAACATAATCATCAGTCTGATTACAGAGCAACTTCAGTTCAGGCACCCTCTCTATTGCTTAGGGTCTTAGCTGGGGTCATCCTTGTGAATTCCTGGGAATTTTTCTAGAGCCAGGTATGATATTGTGGTTTAAATATAATTTGCATGACCCCAGAGACTTCTCATGCTGAGGTTTTACCCCCAGTAAGACAAACTTGAAACATCATTTGATTTTAGCGCTTAGAGGTGAACCTTTGGAAGGATTTGGATAAGAGTAGAGTTCCTTTCGTCAAATTCTAGTGCTCTTCTACGAAGAGGAAATAAGCCAGACAAGATAGCACACGCCTTTAGTCCCAGCTCTCTGTAGGTAGAGAGGGTAGATCTCTGAGTTCAAGACCAGGCTGGTCTACAAAGTGAGTTCCAGGACAGCTGGGGCTACACAGAGGAACCCTATCTCAAAAAAAAAAGAATAAGGAGGAAGAAGAAGCGGGAATGACCAGACATACAGACATATGTGCACTCTTTGTCCCTTACCCTTTGATGTTCTGTGACACCTCAGCACTCTATCAACAAAAGATCCATCATTAGATATGATCCCTTAATCTCAAACCTCCAGAACCAAGAGTCAGTGTAAATTTCTTTTTCCCATAAAGCAACCTGCCTTGGGTATGTTATTACAGCAATGAAAAAGGAACTAATCCCCACCCATAAAATGAAGTCTAGAGGGACAGACTTTCACTAGTATGTTAGCGACAGATGTCTATGGCTGAAAAGATCTCCATTGGAATTTTGTATATTGTTCTGAATATCCTAGCAATGATCATGTGCCCTTTTCCTAAAACTAAAGAGGAGAAAGAAAGGGAAAACAGAAAAAGATTCACAATGCTAAACTCATAAAGAGCTTTGAAGTTACAAGGAAACTGAAGAAAGGAAGAAGACAGAAAGACAGGAAGAAAACAAAGGAAAGAGGAAGAATGGTTACTAATAAGAAGGCTCCAGTGTGCGCATCCTGACTTCCTAACCAGCAAGTGCAAAGACAAGCCATCAGATCTAGAAAACACCACCAGAGAGCCTGGCAGGACTGGGGATGCCTGCAAGTTACTCCTTGCCCATCACACACACACGCACACACACACACACTGATCATAGAAAAAAATTGTTGTCCTGCCCTTGAACTCAACAATTTGACCTATGACTTTGTATAGGAAACACTAAAACCTGGTGGATAGCATTCCCAAGATAAATATTGCCCACCAGAAGAAACACATCACATAATGAAGAGAGAGGGTATGACCTGCTACCATGATTTGTTAGGTGTGGTTCAGTAGCAATGCAGGAACTCAGACAACCATGAGCTTTGCCTGTATCTAGCTTCCTAATGTGTCCTTTCACGGTCTTTGACCTAGATTTCTGCTGCCCCCTGGTGACTCAGAACAGAGAGCCCAGGCAAGAATTTCCTCCACTTCCTTAGGGACTTAACTCATTCTTGTGTTTGTCAGTCTGTGTGAAGATGGTTGGTCTACACACCCATCCCCCTGACTCAACAGATCTTGACTCAACTCAAGGTCAACCTCCCACCCTTATCACTCTACACCTCCACTTACCACTGAAGTCACGTCCACAGGGGGAAAAAAATGAGATGCAGAATAGCAGCAAGAGGTGCTGGAGCCTCTTGGTATTGCTGGGGAAGGGCACAGCGGACTCAGATGGCCAAGGAAAGGGGCAGGGAACACAGATCTTTTCCAGCCCCCAAATGGGGGTCAGATGTCCGCTTTAAGGAAGATGAAGGTGCAAGAGAGGGTGGCTTCTCAGTCTGGTCAAAGGTTAATTTGGGGTGCAAAGATGGCAGACAGCTGGTAGGATCAGGATTCATAGGGACCTACTTCACAGATTTCAGGCTGAAAGGGACTTAAACCCTGAGGAAGAAAAGCTTTGCGTGGCTTCTTTGGTTTAGGAGACAGCAGTAGAGACAACAGCCTAGAGATTTCAGAAAGACCTGGAAATTTAAGCTCTCTCTTGCTCCCCCTCTGTGTATCTCTCTCTCTCTCTCTCTCTCTCTCTCTCTCTCTCTCTCCCTCTCCCTCTATCTCTGTGTGTGTTTGTCTCTGTGTCTGCCTGTCTGTGTGTGTGTGTGTCTATCTGTCTGTATCTCCCTCTCTTTCTGTGTGTGTGTCTGTCATTCTATCTATCTATCTATCTATCTATCTATCTATCTATCTTTCTATCTATCTTTCTATCTTTCTATCTTGCTCACTCTTCTCCTTTCCTCCATCCCTCCTTCCCCTCATACCATTGCTATAGACACAAGCTACACCGAATAGCCCCCATCTTGTGGAAGAAGAGATATGGCTCACCGGCCCCACCCTTCGGTCCCGTCCTCATCTGGAAGAAAACCCCTTACAGCATCTGAAGGTCCCAGGGACAGACAGCCTCAACTGCTCTCGCTGAAGTCTCTGTTCATATTGCTTTTTAATTACGTGCATAAAGCTAGACAAGGCGCCATCCACTTGGGGACTCAGGAGACAAGAGAATCACTGGAGCCTTTGAGTTCAAGGCCAGTCGGAGCAATACAAGCAACACTCCATCTCAAAAGAAAAACACTTGCTTTTTTATTTGGATGTTTAAGTAAACAATAAAATTATAAACAAAATAGTGGAAGCAGGATCTCAGCAACTGGTCAGCAGTCTGTCAGGCACCAGCCCTTCTCAGAGTCACACCGTCCTTATGTGGCCACTTGTCATCAGATCATCCAGCTCCAACACAAGGCTGTTCAGAAAAATGAGTGTTCTCAACACAGTAATATCCAAAATTTTACTAGGCATTTTTTTTATATTTATTACTCTGTGTGTGTGTGTGTGTGTGTGTGTGAGAGAGAGAGAGAGAGAGAGAGAGAGAGAGAGAATGCGTGCACTCATGATTGGGTATACATGCCACAATGCGTGTATAAAAAGATGAAAGGAGAGTTTGCTAAAACAGGTTCTTCCCTTCCACACGTGAATCCAGAGGACTGAACTCAGGCCAGCAGACCTGGAGGCAGGCACTTTTACTCAGAGCCATCTCACCCGCCCACACCTAGCAATGTCAACCTGATTTTAATTGCATGTACCGGAGCCTGTAGAGCATCTGCATTACCCAGGGGACCAGGCAGCACTCTTCCCTTCTCTGCTGATAGAATCTTGGATTTATGTCTCATGCCAGGTCTGAAGCACAGCTAAGCCATTCCCTCTGCAAACATCTGCGTCCCTGGCCTCTCCGTGGCAACTTCTCAGGAGGCTATCACAGGAAGAGGGTCAGGGAGGGGAAGATCTTTCTGGATGGGGCTGGAGAGATGGCTCAGCAGTTAAGAGCACTGACTGCTCTTCTAGAGGACCTGGGTTCAATTCCCAGCACCACAGGGTGGCTCACAGCTGTCTCCGGTTAACTCTAGTTCCAGACCTGACACCCTCATCCAGACATAAGTGAAATGAAAGCAAAACACCAATGGACGTAAAATAAAAATAAAAATAAATAAGCAAAAAAATTAAAGATCTTTCTTCCCTGTCACCAATACTTTGCTATGCCATCTAGAGTTTCAATCAACCCTCCTGTACCTGTGAAGTGATAAGGTCACCAGTGAAGGAATGAGGTGACGGTGAAGAAATCAGGTCACCAGTGAAGGGATGGGTGACAGTGAAGAAATGAGGTCACCAGTGAAGGGATGAGGTCACCAGTGAAGGGATGAGGTCACCAGCACAAGACAAAGCCTGAGGTTTGAGCTGTTGAGCCAGCTCATGCTGTTTCATGCTAAATCTTTGTTGAACAAGTCTCTCATTGGATTTTCTGCTTGTAACCCAAAAATTCTCAATTGACATACTAAGAAATCCATTCATTCTTTCATTCACTCAAATATTTATTGAGAGTTATGAGGGGGAGCTATTTAAGAAACTGAAATTTTGCTAGGCAGTGGTGGTACACACCTTTGAATCCAGCACTCAAGAGGCAGAGGCAGGTGGATCTCTGTGAGTTTGAGGCCAACCTGGACTACAGAGTGAGGTCCAGGACAGCCAAGGATACACAGTGAAACCCTGTCTTGAATAACAAAATAAAAATTTACATAAAGTGTGTGTGTGTGTATGCATGTGTGTGTGCACATGCATCTGTGTGATGCATGTGTGTGTGCACATGCATCTGTGTGTGTGTAAAAGTATCAGTGTCCAATATGGGATAACTAGTCAAATAAATTAGCCATTGTATGGACGTCTAGTAGAGTTAGGTATGATATTGCCATTTTGAGGAAATCTAAGCATTTTGAACGTAACATGCTGATTAGTTTGTGAAAAAGTGAGAGTCAGAAACCGTGTCAAAGATCAGTCAAGTACAGTGGAAACACACTGTAAGTAGAATGAATGAAAACCCAAGCAGGAAATGGTGGTGCACACCTATAATCCTAGTACTGGGGAAGTGGGCATAAGAAGGTCAGGGATTCAGGCTGGAGAGATGGCTCAGAGGTTAAGAGTACTCATTGCTCTTCCAAAGGTCCTGAGTTCAGTTCCCAGAAACCACATGGTGACTCACAACCATCAGCAGTAAGATCTGGTGCCTTCTTCTGGCATGTAGGCATTTATGCAGGCAAAACACTGTATACATAATAAATAAAAAATCTTTAGAAAAAAAGAAAATCAGGAGGAGTTCAAGGCTAGAAATTTGAAGCTCACCTGGACTATATGAAACTTCAAAATTAAAAAAAAAACAAAAACTAATCTTGTAACACACTTGGCATAAGACAGTAACATTTTTAATATCTGACAGAAAACAGAAGAGGAAAGTAGAAAGGTTTTTTAAAATGTGAGGTGACTAGTTGGCAAGAAACGGGGGATGAATACAAGTCTGATGACCTGAGTTCAATCCCCAGAACCCACACAGTGGAAAGAGAGGAACAAATCCTCAAAGTTGTCATCTGAAAGCTACATGTGCACTGTGCACATGCAACTTACACACGCACACACGCACACACACACATACGCGCGAGCACACACACACACAGAGCAATTACTATTTTTTAACATTTAAAAAATTTGCTTTCCCTTGTTATGCATTAAACAAGTCAGGATGTATTATTTCCAAGATGACTAAACTCGTCCAAGGTTGCCAAAGGTGTTACACATTAACCTTTTCCTGGAGCTCCATGCAATGGCTAATTTATTTAACTATCATTTCAGGTGGCACATTAGTACTCTTCTTTATATATGTTACATTTTTAAAAAAAAGAATCTGCTACCTTTCTTTAATCCAAAGGTTTCATAGGCCAACGCCATGCACAGGCAGACCCACTAGCTCCCTCCTCATCTGAGCCCCTGCACAGTACAGACAAGAGGGTCCATGCCAGCGCTTTATTGGGAAAGAGAAGTGTCTGTCCCCAGGGCTGTTCCGTGAAGGACTGATAATTGCAGGAGTGTTACAAGCCCCAGGACATCACCCCTCTTGGCTTCCAGAAGATTCCTGGAGCTTCAGACAGTCAGGACAGCTAGGGGGCTCCAGCCTCTGCAAAGAGACCTTTCAGGTCACAGCAGTGCCTTTCCGGTTCCCCTGCCCAGCCATTTCCCTTCTGCCCTGGGAGCCTCGATGGACTTCCTAACTGGTTCTGAAGACTCTTGCCATTTAGAAGTTGGCCCCACATCTCCAGTTATCAAATAGGAAAGGTATCTGCTCTGTTTTGTTGCCCTGCCCCCAGCCCTCCTATCTCTAACACAGAGAGCCATGCCCACTATAGGCACGTAATCCCACGGTGTCCATATGAAGGGTGTGATCTGTGACTCGGGATCTTTCTCTCTAACTACATTCTTCATGGCCGCCTTCCCAGTAGCTAACAGGGGAGTGTTAACAGCAGTGAAAGCTGTCAACAGGTCATCATGGGCAATACTCACCTAATTTACCTGATTAGACCATCAGTCCAGTTGGAGTCTGTGAGCTGTTTGAGAGACTGGAGCCGGGGGATGCAGAAGCGGCCGCAGCCTGACTTGCAGCACTTTTCCCCAGGTTGACAGTTCTCGTCCACCATGCAGTTGACAATACACAGGCCCACCAGGATTCTGGGACAATGGCCATCCCGCCCTGCGGAGAACACCAGCACAGGGAAAGACCGGGAGCTGGCTCCTCTCTTCCCAAATTTCCACCTACAACTTTTAGATTCAGGGCCCAGGTGAACCAACCCCGACTCCCAACTAGATATGGCTGGAAGCAGGGAAGCTGGAGGACTGAGACACTATACATCCAAACACCTCTGACATAGCACTTAAGCTCCCAAAGCCTGCTTTTAGGGCTGGTAGAATGCAGACATGCCAGTAGAGCCAAGAGCAGAGAAACAGGGTCCCGCCTTCCCCCATGATTGAATTTCATGCTACTGCCTCATCTGCCACCCTAGAAGAAGTTTTATGCCCCTGCTTTGTGCCACCCTAATCCTGTGTAAGTCTTCTTTCATCTAAGTTTGTGTGTGTGTGTGTGTGTGTGTGTGTGTGTGTGTGTGGTGTGAGTCATGTGTGTATGGTATGTGGGTGTATGTGGGTGCTTGTGGTATATGCATAGTGTGTGTATGGTGTATTTATTTGGTATATGTAGTATGTGTTGTGTGTGTGTGGTATGTGAGTAGTGTATTATGTGTGTGAGTATGTGTATGTATGTGGGGTGTGTGTGTACGTGTATGTATGTGGGGTGTGTGTATGTACGTGTATGTATGTGGGGTGTGTGTCTGTATGTGAGGGGTGTGTGTGTGTGTGTGTGTGTACGTGTACTTGTCATAGTATCATTTCTCAAGGGAACAAGAACGGTATAGATTCAGGAGGAAGAGTCCTTTAATATTCAACTTCTCTCTTTTCCCAGATCAGCTTTCAGTGTTGGGTGGCAGCAGTCACAACTTGCAGCCCGCCCAACACTATCATGCATACAACTATCATGCAGGACTATCATGGCATACAACTGATACTCTACAGTGGGTTATGTGTATTGCAAAGGTAGAAGGGTTTTGCGGGTTGAGAGTTGTTCTGGATAGTTTTATGTCAACTTGATACTTGATAGAGTATTCTGAAAGGAGGGACCCTTAACTGAGAAATGTCTCCATAAGATCTGGCTGTAAGGCATTTTCCTAATTAGTGACTGATGTGGAAAGGCCCAGCCCATTCTGGGTGGTATCATCCCTGGGCTGGCAGTCTGGGTTCTATAATAAAGCAAGCTGAGCTGGGCATGGTGGTGCATGCACTCAGGAGGCAGAGGCAGGCAGATCTCTGTATATTGGAGGCTCTGTATTTGTCTACAGAGCAAGTTCTAGGACAGTCATGACTACACAGAGAAACCCAGCCTTGAAGAACAAAACAAAAGAAAAGAAAATAGCAGACTGAGCAAGCCATGAGGAGCAAACCAGTGAGCAGCACCCTCCATGGCCTCTGCATCCGCTTCTGCCTCCAGGATCCTGCCTTGTTTGAGGTCCTGCCCTGACTTCCTTCCTTGATGGACTACAATGTGGAACTGTAAACCAAAGAAACCCTTTCCTCCCCAATTTGTTTTGGCCATGGTGTTTCATCACAGCAACAGTGACCCTGACTAGGACAAGATTGTTAAGTAGACTTTCAACTTACAAGATTTGCCATTTCCCGTGGATTTGTCAGGTCAGGCCCCGTGACAGTCAATGAGCATCTCTAACTCATTTGTCTTCCCTAACATGCTGCATGTATGTCCAGACAAAGGGTTGGACATTGCCTGGGAACATAAACAAACTAATGGGCTGGGGATGTAGTTCAACAAATACACGGTGTTTGCTCAACATTCGAGAAAGCCTGGGTTCAGTCCCCAGGAGTGCATAAACTAGATGTGGTGGCTCACGCCTGGGACCCCTGCAAGCAGGTGATACAAATAGGAAAATCAGAAGTTCAAGGTCATCCTGAGCTACAAGGAAAGTTCAGTCAGCCTGGGTTGCATGAGACCCTGTCTAAAAAACAAAAACAAAAAAACAGAGGTTGAAAGAGAGAGCGGGGGAGGAAGGGAGGGAAGGAAGGAGAGAGGGAGAGAGAGAGAGAGAGAGAGAGAGAGAGAGAGAGAGAGAGAGAGATCTGAGAACAATAATAGTAGCTCAGACCTGTAAAACCAGTCGGAGATTAAGCCAGGGTTCTAAATTTAAGGCCAACCTGGACTATATAATGAGACCCTATCTAAAAAGCAAACAAAAATTGATCCAAACAATCAGTGATATTGGGCAACTTACTGAACAGAGGAAGCAGTCCCCAAAAGAGGGGATTGTTTATCCCAGTCACAAAGCATACCCACAGCAGAGCCCAGGCAGAAGCTTTGTTACCACACCTCCCTCCTCTAACTCTTTCCATGCCAGCGTTAACCTTTAACCCTAGAAGGAAGGGTTCCGTTGGCATGGAGACCAAGGGATGTAAAGATGACAGCAGGCTCCCCCAGGAGAGTGTCCACAGGAAGCTACTCCAAGCTTACCTGGTACCCAACGGGAACTTGTGGCTCTCCTCCCAAAGAACCAACATACCTCCCTGAATGTCTCCTCGGCAGGCATGGCCACAGCCAGTGCTGCAGCACTTGTGTCCCTGGGGACAAGATGTGTCCCCGTCACAGAGCTCCTCGCATGGAAGAGGGTCAGCAGGACATCCATCACTTAATTCTGCCACAGAATCAAAGCATTGAAACTCAGAGGTGCTCAAGCCAGGAACATAAAATACATTTTTCAGTGGGTATAAATAGAGATTTTAATATGCAGTATTCCTTAACATTCCACATTCATTGCATGTCTTCTGGCCATGAGCTATACTGGTTTTGGTGTTTGTAGTATGGAAAAACACTGTTCAGCTCTAGTCCATTGTAGCAAACATATGAATTACATACCTCATGCTCACTCTCCCTTCTTTCATACTGTGACAGACAGTGTTTGACCCCAATCAACTATATCTCCTGGGATTTGTGCCCTGGTGAAGTCCCTTTCCACACTGACTTGGGCTTCACCCTATGATTTACCATTACTACAGGGGCATTAGCAAACTTAATGCAAGCAGAGACTTAAGAGCACCTGCCTGCAGGGGCCTGTCCTCTTGGAATGCCCCTCTCAGAAGCCAGCCACGGTGTTATAAAGCAGCTTGAGCTACCTTGTGGTGTGATGAGATGTACTGTGGACAGGGAACACAGAAGAAATACATTCCCGGGGGGTTAAAGAGGAGGTTCAGTTGGTAAAATGTTTGCCATGCTTTCCTGAATTTGATCCCCAGAGTCCACACAGAAGTCTGGGTGTGGTGGCACCGGCAATGTGATGGTGGAGATAGGCAGACACCGAGCCTAGTCAGCAAGTGAGATTCTGACTCAAAAAACCGAAGGTGGACAGCTACTGAGGACTTGGCCTCCATGTTGATTTCTGGTCTCCACAAACATGTGCACATACCCACAGATATGCAGGAATATGCAAATTAGTTGATTAATTAATGAAAATAAATATGCCGGGTGATGGTGGCACTCACCTTTAATCCCAGCACTCGGGAGGCAGAGGCAGGTGACTCTCTGAGTTCAAGGCCAGCCTGGTCTACAGAGTGAGTTACAGGACAGGCAGGGATAAAAAAAGAACAAATAAATGTAAATAAGAAAGATCAACCCAGACATTCTACTAAGCTCGCAGCTGCCTGCATGAAAGACCTCAGCTGTACCGCATGGGGAGATCAACTACCCAGTAGAGCCTGAGCCACCCTCATGGATGTGATGAGGAATAAACCATTGTCTCAGGTCACTGTATCTGGGGACAGTTTGCTACACTGTAAATGAGGGTCATTCTTAAAATCCCAAATCTGAGCTGGGCATTGGTGGCACACGCCTTTAATCCCAGCACTCAGTAAGAAGAGGAAGGCGGATCTTTGTGAATTCGTGCCTTTGTGAGCCTGGTCTACAAGAGCTAGTTCCAGGACAGGCTCCAAAGATACAGAGAAACCCTGTCTCAAAAAAAGAAAAAAATAGGGGGCTGGAGAGATGGCTCAGTGGTTAAGAGCATTGCCTGTTCTTCCAAAGGTCCTGAGTTCAATTCCCAGCAACCCCATGGTGGCTCACAACCATCTGTAATGAGGTCTGGTGCCCTCTTCTGGCCTGCAGGCATACACACAGACAGAATATTGTATACATAATAGATAATAAATAAATAAATATTTAAAAAAGAAAAAAAGAAATAATAAATAAAAAATAAAACCCCAGATCTGGTCTGAGAAGCAATGAATTTAGTCCAAATGAATCACTTCCTCCATATTCTCTTGAACTAGAGATGACCACAAACTAAGAAGTTTCTGTATCCTTTTTTAACAATTTAATTTTATTTTATGTGTATTAGTGCTTTGCCTACATGTATGTTTGTGTGAGGCTGTCAGATCCCCTGGAACTAGAGTTACAGATAGTTATGAGCAGCCTTGTGGGTGCTGGGAATTGAACCCGGATTCTCTGGAAGAGCAGCAGTGCTTAACCTCTGAATCATCTCTCCAGTCCCTGCTTTTGTATTCTTGATACAAACTGCCACTTCGCTTCTTTCTTTCAGAGACATATAAACCGTGGAGATGAAAGGCAGCCTTCCTTGAAGTAGGAAGCCACCAGCATGAGGACAAAGTCAAGGACTGGCAAGGGGAGAGGGAGATGCTTTCTTCTTGGTAGCATCATTGAGTTGCCATGACAGCTCTGACCTCAGAATTCTTGTAAAGTGGGGACAGTGAATCACTATTCTGTTGATGTTCTGTTGTCCATGGCTGAAGACATTCACCTTCATCACTGCTGTGGCAATAACAAAATCCAGAGAAGAGAGTGGGGCCAACCCAGAACTAGAGTAGGCTAGCAGCTAAGGACAAAACTCAGGCCTGGCTTGCAATGAATTGCATTCTAATACGCCATCCCTAAAAGATGCAGGCAACTTGGGCCCAGGAGCAGGCACACCCAAAGAAGACTACATCCAAGCCAAACTAAACTCACCATGAATCATTGCCATTCTTTAAATGTGGAGCGAGGCGATGAGCAATTAAGAGTTTTGTAGAAAACCAAAATATGCCTAGCCCAGAGCCTCGAAAGCAGCAGGCTATGCATGACGGCACATGGCTGGCTCCAGAGAGTCTGCCGATGGAAGGAGCAAGCGCTGGACCCCAAAGATGAGCCATAATCGTCTTGTGTCCTGGGATTTTCCCGCATAGGAACGTTGTGTTGTTATGATGTCATATCAAAACTACATACCCTGATTTTCTTTTAATTTGAAAAACATGGTTACTAGTACTGCTGATGTTTCTCACTACACCTACTCATCATCTACTTGACAAACACTGCAATACACCTGACAAAAGTCAAATGTCCTCCACCATTGAGAGATCTGTATATGGAAATCACCCCAGAGGGAAATTCCACTGCCACCAGTTTCTCATAGAGTTGAACAATGAACCTAAAAAGAGGGACCCCATACTTACCATGTATGTAATGTGTAACCATTTTAATGAGCTTAGCTCTGATGGAATGAAGGCCAGGAGACTCTGCTCCTCCCGGCTCTTCAGACATAGTAGAGACCTTACCTCTGCTCTCTCCTAGCCCAGTTTCCCTTGAACTCCTTAGTTTTGGAAAATTTCAGAAGCAAGGAACAGACCCCTTGGGAGGCAGGCTGGGGTCAGAGGGCATCCCCTTTGATCATTGTTCAGCTCTACCATCCTCCTTCATAGCTCAAATCCACATCAAATAAATAAGTCCTGTCAGTTCAAACACACAAACATAATGGGACGTCACTGCTGTGGAATGGCCTTCGCTATATGTGTTGTTTTTATTGGTTGATAAATAAAGCTGTTTCGGCCAATGGCTTAGCAGAATAAAGCTAGGCCAAAGCAAAGATACAGAGGACAGTAGGCTGAGTTGAGGCGATGCCATGTAGCCACCAAAAGGAGAAAGAGGTCCAAACGTTAGCGGCAAGCCACGAACCTCATGATAAAATATAAACTAATAGAAATGGGTTAATTATTAGTTACAGCTAACCACAAAGACGCCTGAGCCATCAGTTGTAACTGATATGAAGCCTCTGAGTGGTTATTCAGGAACAGATGGACAGAGAGAAACCGGTCCAGTGGGGCTGGGCGAGACAGAGAAGAAACCTCCAGTCACACTTCACCACCTCTAAGTCAGACAATGCCATCTTCAATTTTTTTTAATGTTATGTTCATTGGTGTTTCGCCTGCATGTATGTCTGTGTGAGGGTGTCAGAGGAGCTACAGACAGGTGTAAGCTGCCTACGGGTGCTGGGAACTGCACTCAAGACCTCTACAAGAGCAGTATGTGCTCTCAAGCACTGTGCCATTTCCCCGAGCCTCATACTTTAACATCCCTTAGTTAGTTAGTTAGTTAGTTAGTTAGGTGTATGGGTGTTTGTCTGCATGTATGTCTACATGTATGCCTAATGCCCAAAGAGGCCAGAAAAGGATATTGGATCCCTTCTGGGGTTGTAGACAGTTACGCGCTGCCATATGGGTATTGGGTATCAAACCTGTGTCATCTGGAAGAGCAGTCAGTGTTCTTGACAGCTGAGCCATCTCTCCAACCCCGCCATCCTCATTTTTAAGCTAGACAGTGTTTGTACTCCCTCATACTCTCCTGAAACCAAGTTCCTGAGAAGTTCTAAGCACCCATTTTTATCCTGCTCCCAGGAGCCTTGTAAAACATGGTCTTTGTTAGCGAGGAGACGGTGGCACATGCCTTTAATTCCAGCACTCAGGAGGTAGAGGCGAGTGGATCTCTGTGAGTTCGAGGCCAGCCTGGTCTACAAGAGCTAGTTCCAGGACAGGCTCCAAAGCTACAGAGAAACCCTGTCTCAAAAGAAAACAAACAAACAAACAAACAAACAAAACCACACATGGTCCCTGCGGTACCTTTGGACAGGATGCCCTGCCCTCGATGTTCTGGTTCTGCTAATCTGCGTGAACTCAGCCATTACAAAATGTGGGGCCCAGTAAGCTCACAACTAATTATGCTACCAGGGATCAGGACCAGAATCAAGACTGGTAGCTAGAACTGGGATGATCACCCCACCCCTATCTGCACCTCTCCCAACACCCTACCAATCCCCCAAAAGCAGGGACCCTGTAGTCAGTAAATAGGCTTCAGGCCTGCATCAGTCCACTGTTTTGCCTCCCTGGACGTCCCTTCTGTTAAAGAGCATCATTACCACCTGTCTGTCACTCAGGCTGTTAACATCACACTGTCTCTACCGCCCTCTCCCTCAGTGGTCACAGCCTTTTATTTCTTCACTTGGTCCTGTCAGCTGCCTTCAAGTCTCTGATTTTCCGTGTCTGCATGATGGGGAGCTCCTTGACCTAAACCAGGATCACCTATCACCCAGTCGGCCATGATGGCTTCTCCTCCACTGGTCCTCCACCGTCTACACCCGGCCCTCATCCGTTCTTCGCACAAGAGAACAGCCTTTTCAGAATGAACACTGGAACAGGCCTCTCCCTCATTTAGACTCCCCTCAATATTTTTTTTTTGGCTTTTTGAGACAAGTCTCATGCAGCCTAGACCGCCTTAAACTCACCCCACAGCTGAGAATGGCCTGATCCTCCTGCTTCTGCCTTCCCAGTGCTGAGATTATGGTCATTCCCCCCCACAGGGCTTGGGTACTTCCTTACAGATGCTGTTTAATTTGTATTTATTGTTGTGTGTGTGTGTGACATGTGTGACTGTGAGTGCATGAACATCACAGGGTGCCTGTGCTGGTCAGAGAACAACCTCTGTGGTCGCTCCTCTCCTTCCCCTAGGTTGAACTTCTATCCTCAGATTTGTGTGGCCTTCACCCGCTAAAACAACTCACTGGCTCGAATTACTTCCTTCTGCACTTAGAATAAAATCTGCAAAAGAAACCCAAAGCTGTCCTAACCCTGAGCCTTGCCATCTCCCCAACCTCAACTGGGACCACCCTCTGATTTTCTCCAATCACAATGGACTCTTTTCCCTTCCTTGGGAACAAAACTCTCCCCTCCCTCGGAGCCTCTGCCTTTGCCGCTCCCTCTTCACAACACTCCCCCAAAGGTGGGGACCTTGTTCACCATAGACACCCTTGTGCCAGGTACAGCTGACTCTCCACACAGAGTGTATATGAGTGATTGATGAGTAAGTGGGCGGGGCAAAATGCAGGTGACTGGAGAGGGAAACAGACCAGACTGTAGGAAGCCCTGAGCACTGCCTGGCACATATAATGCAGACTCTCCAAACGCATTTCTTCCGAACTACGTCATCGCTCTGTGAAGATGACAAGGGGCAGACAGAGATGAACACACTTGCCCAAGCCTACCGAGCAAACAGAAGACTCACCACAAGCCACTTTCAGACCGGAGCTTCTCCCTGAGAGCACAGTCCAGTGTCTACCTGTGCCTCAGGCAAGCTGACTGGCACTTACCTTTGCCAAAACAGACCAGCTCTGCTACAGTATACCGGTGTTGACGTCAAAGGTTAAGTTTTTCACAGCTCAGGAAGGAGCGCTTCCTTCCCAGAGCTTCTTCAGTCTCATTAAGAGCAACCCTTCTCAGGGGGCAGTGATGGCATTGTCTTTAATCCCAGCACTTGGGAGGTAGAGGCAGGAGGATCTCTGTGAGTTTGCAGTCAGCCTGGTCTAGAGAGTGAGTTCCAGGACAGTCAAGGCTACACAGAGAAACTCTGACTCGGGGAGATGGGGGGAGAACAACCCTTCTCTACAGCAGGAGCTAAAATGCTGAAGAAGTAAACATTAACTCTGCCAGCTACTGCAGGTCCACCAACTCCACCAGGTCTTGTTCAGCCTGTGGGCTCTGAGGGATCTGTAGTCTACTTCCAGCCTGCCTGCCTAACCCCAACGGAAAAGGAAGTTCCACCTCTAATGGCCAAAGGCCAGAGTGGCTCACAAAGGTACCACACCTAGGAACCAGCCTCACCCTCAACCCCCACAGTTCAGACGTCAGCTGCCAACACTGAGAAGATTGTATGAGGCCTGACAAGCTGACAGTAGGTGACTTGCTCACAACAGATTCCCAGGTTTGGCCCCAGTGCTGGGACCTGAGAGTCCTGACAAGGACTGCACTGTTTTCTCCTGTGAGCAGGCTGTCTGAACCAGCTACAGTTCACCCCACTGGGTACCAGGAAGGAGTTTGCTACCTGGGAGACATTTTTGAAAGGAAATATTACATGTGCGGTGGAGTTTCAGGGTCTCAGGTGATCAGTAGGGTGGGGAAGGGGGACTGTTTGCACTCCTGGGCCAGCTGTAGTGTCATGTAGGCCTATAACTGTAGCATTTGGGAAACTGAGGCAGGAGGACTAAAAATTCAAAGCCATCATATGCTACATAGACAGACTATCAAAGAGGACGAGGAAAGGTCAGGATGAAAAGGTCATGAAGAGGGGGAGGAAGAGAGAGTATTATAGCCCAAACCCAGTCCCCTTAGGAGCCTAAAGAATCTAATGTATACTCCTGAAGGACTAACACAACTCTAACACATTATAGCAACGCTCCAGGCTCTTTCCACCTTACAGGGAAACAGAAAGAAGTACAGGGGCTTGCCTGGGGAGCCGCTCCTCTCAGACAACCCAAATCTACACTTGCAACTTAACACGCTGTGTTCTCAGGTGAGAGACTGACACCTGCAGCTTCTGCAGACAACAGAATGTCATTCAGGAGACTGAGGCAAGGGAGTCACAAGTTCCAGGCCAGCCTGAGCGAAACAGTGAGGCTCTGTCTGCCAAAGAGGAAAGGGGATAAAGGAAAGAAGAAAAAGAGCCAGGTTTTTGGTGGTACATGCCTGAAATCCCAAGACTCAGAAAGTGGAGGCAGGAAGACCAGGGGTTCAAGGCCAGCCTTGGCTATACAGAGTATTGGAGGCCAACCTGGGCTACCTGTCTTGAAAAAAAAGAAAAGTAATAAAAGACCTCATTTCAGAAAATAGAAAAAATAAACCATCAAGAATAAATGTATCAAGACGTATTTTAAATCTATAAAATACTCTAAAGTCTGAGCAACAGGCAGATATAAGGTTAGCACTCCAAAAGTCAGTGTATATATCTAACGTCACTCGAAGAAAAAAATTTGGAGAGTGAAGAGAGACAGGAAATGTGGTCATAGAGAATACTGAGAAGTATAAATAAGCAAAAGTCACCATGAAAAATCTAAAATAGCAGGAAAGTAAGAAGTAAGTTCTACGCAGATGACACCACCACCTTCGCCATCGCCATCGCCATCGCCATCGTCCTCATCTTCTTAGATTCTCCTCCTTTTGGTTTTGGTTTGGTTTTGGTTTTTTGGCTTTTGGTGGTGGTGGTGTTGGGTTTGGTTTTTGTTTTTTTTCTTGTTTGTTTTTTGTTTTGTTTTGTTTAAGACAGGGTTTCTCTGTGTAGCCCTGGCTTTCCTGGGACTCACTCGGTAGACCAGGCTGGCCGCAAACTCAAAGAGACCTGCCTGCCTCTGGCTCCTGAGCACTGGGATTAACGGCATGCATCACCACTGCCCTGTGACACCTCCAACTCCTAATAACTTTTGGTGACTCTTAAAGGAATGGTAAAGGGAGCATGACCCATCTGTGTCCCCTTTCTCCATTCCCACTATACACCTCCCTAGTGTCAAAGGTCTCTGTCTTCTATTGGCATTACCCTCCCATCTCTGGCCCTAACCATGCATGAGTCTTATCTTCCAAAGACCTTTACATAGGATTCTCTCTCTTCAATATCCAACCACACCCATGCCCTGGCCAGTTAGTTTCAACAACTTCTCCCAGTGGCAGCTGAAATGCCACTGCCCTAGACATACTTTCCTTAGCCGCCCAACCCAGCGCGAGTGCCCATCTTCTCTCTCAGCGTCTGTCAATGCTCCTCTGTTGTTCTTATCGCAGCTCAAAATCATGTATTTATTTGCTTGCTTTGTCCGGCACAGTGTACCCAGAGCTCATCACTGGATACAGCAAACAGTAAAGATCCAGTAGAAGTTTGTGGAGCAAAGATAAACATGGAAGTAGAGAATTAGGTCATGATGACCCTGTAAGAGGGAGAAGAATCTCTTTCCAAAGCCTTCCTAATAACTGCAGAAGAGAAAATCTGCCTCAACTAGTATCAGGACACTAGCCCTGTGCATGCGTGCAGAGGGAGCAGAGAGTCTCGGAAGCAGGCGCACAGGGGAGTGTGTGCTGTCTTCTGCAGATGTCGAGATTCAATTCTGCTGCCTCTCTGCATATTCTTTGGGTAGAGAATCTCTCATCTGACTGTGGGGACTTCCTAATAGGTCTCCAAAACTGTGGCCTTGCCTCTTGGCATCCTGTTCTGCTTGTGACTTGTGACTTGGGTACTCTGTGTATCTTTGTTCAGTCTCAGAATAGAGCTGGCATTTGTACTGTTTTTCAAAGTAAACTAAAACCAATCATCAGGGAATAATTTGGTACTTTGGCACAAGATGGTGTGTGTATATTTGACAGAGGAGCAAGTTAATCTGCCCACAAAGCATGAAGGAGAGGCTTCTTACCCAATTTCTGTTTGAAGAGTGGGACCACACATCTCTTGTTGCAGTCAAATGTACAGCATCTCTTCGCACTGGAAATGCCTTATGTGTGGTGCACAAGTTAGAACAGAACGGCCCCTGAATAACTTTGGGACTACCTTTTTTCTTTTCTGTTTCAAAAACAGACACACAGGAGCTGGAGAGATGGCTCATGGGTAAGAGCACTTACTGTTCCTACAGAGGACCAGGGTTCAGTCTCCAAATTGGCTGTAACTCCCGTTCCAGAGGATCTCATGCCCTCTTCTGGTGTAAGAGGGTACTCACATACCTGTGGTGTACATAAACTTGAACAAGCACACACACATATAGATCAAAATAATACGCTTTTTCAAAGGCATGCACTGAGGAGATAGTTGGTCAGTAAAGCACTTTCTGGACAAGCATAAAACACTGAGTTTGGATCCCCAGCACCCACGTTAAAAATAATAGCACTCAGGAGGCAGGAGGATCTCTGTGAGTTCGAGCCCAGCCTCGTGTACAAAGGGAGCTTCAGGGCAATCAGAGCTATTACACAGAGAAACCCTGCCTCAAAAAACAACAGTAATAATAATGACAATAATAATAATAATAATTTTTAAAAATAGAAACAAAAACCAGGCTGGTGAGATGGCTCAGTAGGTAAAGGCACTTGCCCAAAACCTGAAGACCTGAATTTGATCCTCAAGTCCCACAAAATGTAAAGAAAGAACCAGTTCCCAAAAGTTGTTGTCTGACCTACACATGCACACCTTAGCTGCTGGACACACAACTAAATAGAAAAGTAAGTAAGGTTTTAAATTTTTTTTTTTTAAAGGCAGGTTCAGGGGAAAGAAGTTGAGACTAGTTGCCCTTCAAAATGAGCTCCGTTGGGAAGGAACACCTAGGACCATGGAGGTCATGATCACACTTGAGCTGGGACTGGGAGAGGATGCAAGGGACAGCCTAAAGTGAAAACAAGACAAGACAGCTGAGGTGAACAACATGCAGGGAGGTGGGGGAGGGGAGGAAGTTTCCTCAGGGAGAGGGGAGCCTGGCCATAACTCAAAGCCAGTTTCAGGGGAGGCTCAGAGCTATTTACTGAGACCAGGAAGAACATTTGTTTCCAAGTCCTTGCTAGACCAGGAGGAGAGGGACCAGAGCCACAGAGGAGCAGGGCTTGATTTCCGAAGGCGGCCAGAGGCTCTGTGATCTAACACCTATAATCCCAGTTCGCGGAAAGAGGACTCTAGATTCCAGGCTGTCCTAGGCTACACAACAAGACCCTGACTTTAGAAGAAGAAAAAAAAAGGCCAGGCGTGGTGGCACACACAGGTGATCCCAGCACTCAGGAGGCAAAAGTGGGAGGATCCTGCGTATGAAGTCAGAATGAGCTATACAGTGAGATCCTGAACAACATCCCTAAGTCCTTAGTGCCTTTTCTAAAATTATTATGAGGCGGGCACATGTATCATGGCATGCATGTGGAGCTCAGAGGACAGCTTTGCGGAGTCAACCGTTCTCTCTTTTCACCTTTGCATGAATGCTGGGAACAGAATTTAGGTCTTCAGGATTGCAGAGCAGGCAGGAAGCACCTCTACCTGCTGGGCCACCTCTGTGTCCCCATCTTCCCAGGATGTCGGCCCACTCGCTATCTTAAGCAGGCTTTCCCTCACAGCACTACTCTAGTCCAAAGGAAAAGACATGAGCTACCAAGGGTACGTTCTTTCCTGGTCGGAGACAAAGAGCTGGGGTATGGGATGGTTAGAGTCCTCAAAGGGGAAAAGGGTAACTTACCAGAGACAGCCTAGGAGGTGGGAAGTTCTCTGGTTCTGTCCATCCGAGAGACAAGGCCAGGGAAAATACCAGAGACAGTCTAGGAGGTGGGAAGTTCTCTGGTTCTATCCATCCGAGAGACAAGGCCAGGGAACATACCAGAGACAGTCTAGGAGGTGGGAAGTTCTCTGGTTCTATCCATCCAAGAGACAAGGCCAGGGAACATGCTGGGATCTTGCCCCTCCTGACAACATACCCCAAAAGGTCTGTTTGGTGGGCCTTATCACAGCCCGTGCTATAGCACTTCTGCCCGGCAGGGCATGACCTATCGCTCTGGCACAGATCTTTGCATGGGTTCTGATCAGGAAGGTACTGTTCCTCTTTTACTGAAAGAGATTTCATACTAAATTGAGATAATTGGTTAGGACGAAAGAGACGGGCGGGGGCGGGGGGGGTGTCAGCCTCTACCACTGGGGGCTGAAGAGATGACTCAGCTGTTAAGAACACGTAATGCTCTTCCAGAGAACACAAGTTCAGTGCACAGCACCCATCTCTGGCAGCTCCCAACCATCTGTACCTCCAGTTCAAGGGGCTCCTACTCCTTCTTCCAGCTTCCACAGACACCCATACACACTTGACATACATACAGAGACATACCTACACAAATCTTAAAAAAAAAATAAAGAGAATGAGAGTCAGATGTATCTCAAGGAGTTCAGCATCTCCATGCACTACTATGCAGATTATCTCTGCAACCCCCTTCTCTCCTTACCACACAGACACCCACACACCTACACCCCATGACTACTAAGACAAGTAAACCAGTACCGCTGCAGAGGAAGGCAGACAGACAGACAGAGAAAGGGGACTGTTGCATGGCCCTGTCCTCATTAAATGAACTCTAGGCAATAGCTGGACTGTCTATCCTTGGAAGTCCTAACTCCTTGTTGCAGAGAGGGCAACAAAACCCAAGCCAACTTATCCTTATCATCCCAACATTCTACCCATTCAGTTCTTCCTACAGAGACAATTGGCTCCACAGAGAAGCCTTAGAAGGCAGGAGATGACCTCTCCCCTAGTAACTTTCTTCTAGCCAGGGACCCCAAGTGATAGCTCACCGTGCTCTCCTGCAGTTACCCAGGATGCCAGGGACCCAAGAGCGAGAAGCGCCTTCGTGAGGGAGAGGTGGTTTAACATCCTGCTGGTGTTGAGGGTTGAGAGCTCAGTTCAGGACAGAGGCAGCAGCAGAGGAAGGGACAGGACTGGGTAACTGCTGTCAATCCAATTCCAACAGTTTTACTTTATGCAGTTACCTCCCACCACCCAAAGAACGTCTTCTCCTCACAACAAGAACAGTGATTGGCTGCTGGTGTGTGGAAATTTTCCTGGCACTACCAAAGGGCCCATGTGATGGGAGGAATCAACTACTGTCATACAATATACATAACACTCTTAGACAAGTGATGCGGATTCCA